CTGGCAGCCACCGTCCTGTGAAAGAAGGTCTTTGTCACAGAGCACCATTCAAAAGCCAACCAGCCATAGTCACCGGGTCTAAAGAGAAGACTTTTTTTTCTGGTGGGCTTCTTTTCAGGCCAGGGATTCCAGCGCTGACCTGAAAGCCACGGCTCCTCCTCCAGGGTGAAGGAACAGCGCGAGGAACGCAGGAGAAGGATTGAGTGGATTGGATTAGGACTAATCTCTTGTTCCTCACCGCGGTGTGCTGCAGGGGCACTTACCGACCCTCTGAGTCACCGGATACCTGGAGTGTGCGAGACGCACAGCCGGCGACGGGTCGCCAATTATGACAGGTGGGGGGGAGTGTCAGGAACAGGATCAGAAGGCAGCCATTGTACAAATAAATAAATAAAATCTAGCAGGAACACCTCCAGCTTATGGAATCAGTGGCATCCAACACCTTCATGCATAATAATAAAGATTCAAGCTACTTAAGAAACTTCAAAACACAATCAAAAGAGTAGTAATCAGGTTACAGATGGGGGTCACTAAAATTTGTTTTTTTTTTTAAAGAAATTAATACTTTTATTCATCAAGGGTGCATTAAATTAATCAAAGGTGACAGTCATTTATAATAATTTCTATTTCAAATAAATGCTGTTGTTTTGAACTTTCTATTCATCAAAGAATCCTAATAAAGTATCATGTTTTCCACAAAAATATTAAGCAGCACAACTGTTTTCAACATGGACAATAATAAGAAATGTTTCTTGTGCACCACATTAACATATTAGAATGATTTTATGAAGCATAAAATATAATAAAATAGGGAAAAAAGTCATTTTAAATCGTATAATATGACTTGATAATATGATTTTTAAGCAAATCAATGCAGCACAGGGTTGTTACTGTATATTACTGTATATTTAATTAAAACTGAAACTACAGTTAAATCCATTTAAAAAATAATAAAATAATAAAACTACCAAAAATGAACCCCCTCCCCCCAAAAAAATAAATAAATCCTCACACAAAATTACTAAAGCTTTAACTAAAATTACAATTTAAAACTTATTTAAAACATTAATAAAAATATTAATAAAATATTAATGTTAATAAAAAACTATAATAGCATCTTCATGATACTTAAAATAACACTGTAAGAGACTTATTGCAAACAATTGACAAAAATCATACTGACACTAAGCTTTTGAACAGTAGTGTAGAAAATAATACAAAAACTGAATACTAGCAACTAATATGGGTTATTCAATGGAGAAGAGACATGGAGAGAGCAGGCTGGTCAACGGCTGATATAATTCTCCAGTACATAAAACAACTCAATTATTGCAAAATTATTTTGACAATATATAATTCAATTTCACTAAAGTATATGAAAAAAGAAAACGCATGATCTCTTGACAAGCCTGTCAGTAACACGAGAACAAACTGAGAAACTGTAAATCGGCCATCTGACACAATCAATGTCAAAATGATGTTTTGAATTAGTTGACTGCACATTGGTCTATTTCAGCTCCCCGACCTTGTGTATAGAAGCTTTGCCCTTCTCCCAAAGGGTCTAGTTTCTTCACTTTACCTTGTCTGCTTGGAAACTTCATAAAACAATCAAAAAGAGTAAATATTTACTTTAAATTAGCATTTTATAAACTGCTGTTGCTCTCGAAATAGAAAAACACATACTGTACATGAATACAGAAATGAAAATTGCCAAACAAAACAAAAAGCATTTGGCTTATTTTGATGTACTGTTTCTTGAGGTAATGCTAGTTCTGTTGATTGGATGAATGGGCAGTTAGCAGCTGATGCTTTGGACCTCAAAATACCCAAATGTCGACCACTTAATCAGGTTGGTCCATATACTGGTCTATCACTATTAAAAATCTAGACAAAGATCCTCATCAAAGGACTTTTAAAAGATCTTTCCACCAGAATCAACACTTGCTTTTACTGCAGCTTTTCCCAAATGAGATGTACACCAACATCCCATAATACTACCAGATTCCACAATGAAACTGGAACACAAACGAAGGGCTCAGACGGACGTCTTTACGGAGCTCACTCTGGATTTACAGGCTGGTTTATGAGTGTAGAGCACTGAAGCACTCACAGCCTCACAATCTGAGGAGGGTTATTGGGTTCCTGCACATTAGCCCAACAGAAAAATATTACAAAAAATTTTAATTGCAAGATTAAAGCTTTAAATGCAAATGTAAGTACATTCATCAAGGCCACTCCAACAAGTATCACAGTATCACAATAATCAAATTTTAAAATGTGTTAAAATGAGTGTCATCATATGAATCATCTTTGCTATAATTTTTAATCAACTGGTGTCAGGGTTATTTTTAGTGGATGTGTGAACTCAGTTCCTCCTCAAATTCACAGTAGTAATTCATAACATTAATTTCCATCATATTATTTAATATATATATGTGTATATAAGACTCAAGCCAGACCTAAAAATGTCAATGTTATAGCAATTTTTTGTAATATAAAATATGTTTAATTTCTATCTATCTATCTATCTATCTATCTATCATTATTTTAATTAAAAGCATATTTTGCATATTGTATATTTTTATTATACAATAAATTTGTACTTGTCTACAAATATAACACCCACATTAAATTAAAAATGATTTTACTCTATGTATAATGTGTATGTGATATGTGCTTCCTCCCTTTGTATCTTGCCGTTTTATTTTATTTTACATTATCCCTGTAATTGCCAAAAAAAAAAAAACATTTGCACAATTATATATTTATATTATTATCAAATTAAAACATTTATACATATGAATAGAAAAAATATATATAATAAATGTTACCTGCAATGATATTCAGAGATTTTTACATCTGGTTTGAGTGCCCAAAGTAATTTTGGGGCCACTGTACATAACGCACACATTTAATTCCACATTATCCTTTCTAATCTTGGTAAAACATTTACATGTAATATTCAGCGTGCTACTGAGCGGCTGTAACGGTCACAGCTAATTAGCAGCATGGAGATTCCCACCAAAGCCTCTCTTCTCACACACAATGTCCTAACCTTCATTTCTCACAGCTCAACATCAACCCCACCCAGAACTTTCCCACCCTTCAGCTCCACACTGGACGTCAATCAAAAGACGGGCAATCATCAGTCATGAGCCGTGAAAAGACCTCGTCCCACTATCCCTTCATACCCTCCTCTAACGCTCCTTTCTTCCATTATCCCAGCGGCTCTGAATGGGCGTGACATATTTTAATCTCCAGCACGCCTCCTCTAAATTCCCGCCGTCGTGTTCGCTGCGTCCGCCACTGGTCGGCTTAAACATCGCTGAGGCAGACAGTGCGGTCTTTTTCAGAAAGCTATAGGATCAAACCCACCCCTCCCTCGCTCTGCGTCTTCAGGGTCACGGTCCCCCTCGGACCGGGGCCCTTTGAGCCCGACGAAAAGGATCATGTCATGAATGGAGCTTGATTTAGTTTTAACAGGGTGCTGTGTCCGTCCTTTAAGTGGTAAATGAATAAACATTAGCCGCGAAAGGCCTGCGGGGAAGGAGAATGGAGAGCGAGGCCTCTGAATGCTGAGAAGGTGGAGAAGGGGTGTGTGAGAGCAAATAGAAAGGAGGGGGTTTCCCGCTTCCCTCCGCAGGAACCCAAAGCAGTTAATTGGAACGTTTGTTTGTTCCTCACGTCCTTTGACGAGATGGGAGCGAAGATCTAAGTATGTCACATGCTGACTTCCCAGAGAGGGGAAATTAAAGGCATGTGTGAAGACTGTTTGCTTATGGTGCACTTCTGACTAAATATTTGATCGTTTTTGAAACCATGAAATAACACAATATGGAAGAACAGGAATTATGACAAAAAGTGTTAGGAGGTGCAGTATTGAAGGAGTTTATCGTGTGCTAGACACATGTTTGATTTTTTCCTTCAATAGCTTGTCCATTTCATCTATTTAAAAAAAAAAAAAAAGTTCATTTTTTCCTTTTTAAATGCATATTAATGCACATGTATAATTGACATTTTTCAACACAACTAATTTCAAGCATTTAAGTATAAACCTTCAGATTAAAATGTTACGACCCTGAGAAACTAATTTAGTCAAGGGTCTTCGACTTTCATTTAAAAAAAAACACATTTACAAGAATAATTTCATGCAACAAAAAATTATAAAATGGTAAAATAAATAAAAATTAAATTAAATAAAGTAGTAAGAAGTCTCTTATGCTCATTAAGGTCGTTTATTTGATCAGAAATACAGTAAAAACAGTCAAATTGTGAAATTATGACCATTTTAAAACAGCCATTTTCTGTTTTAATACATTTTAAAATGTAATTTATTCCTGTGATGCAAAGCTGAATTTCCAGCATCATTATTCCAGTCTTCAGTGTCACGTGATCTTTCAGAAATCATTCTAATTATGCTGATTTGCTGTGCAAGAAATGGCATCATATTTAAGTGGAAACTGCACTAAAATCTGTACTCTTAACTGGATTCACCGGTGGCATTCATCCGCCCTTTGACCCCCAACATCCAGTTATCTGTTTGGTGTTTTGTTTAATAGGACAGACCTCTGACATCAACCAATCGACCCCAGACAAGCAAATGTCACGACCTTTCACCCCACCATGAGTCTACAAGGGACAAAGATAGCCACTAGCCAAAAACGACTTCAATGCTCAAGAAGATCCAAATGTTAAGTTTACGCAGCAGTCTGGGTGAAAGAAAAAAAGAGGGAAAAAAGAAAAACGAAATATCCTTTCTGTAGCGCTCACAAAACTGAAAAAAAGGAATTGTTTTAATAGCAGTGGAGATAATCTTTTTTTATTTTTAAATCTACGGATTTGTGCTATATCGGTTTTTTTCAAGCTTATATAAACTATTTACTATTTTATAATCCCCCCCACCGCCCCACCACCACCAAGTATTTATATAAATGAGTGTGGAATTGTGCAGAGAGAAAAAAGGAGCAAATGAACCTAATGTAACAATCACTTTAATAATTTAATCTGGAATTAGACAGTAGTCAAACGTTTAATAATCAATCTTACAATAAAGATAACACACAAAAGACAAAACAAGTTAAATGTGTATGTTACATTAGAGAAAGGAAACAGTGTAGGAATATTAACATACTGATATTGCACATTGTTGCTGTCATTTTGGCCAAATCTGTGAAAGCATTAAGAAAATGACAAATGTTTGATTTAGAGATGTTCTGCACGCATGCTGATTGACATGGACATGCAAATTATCAGGAAAAATCTATAAATAAAAGATTATAGAATTTAGCTTTTAAAAATGTGGATACAATGTGCGGATTCTCACCAACAAAATTAAGACAAACTATTTAATAATTACATTATATCGATCAAATAATGTTTGGATAACAAATGCTTAAATTAACACCTGTAAAATTAATTCCATTAAAAATGCAACAGCTTGGATGTTTAGAGGTTGTGGGTTTTTGGTCACATTTTCTCTGAACACATTCACCGGAAATCAGGACTCATCATTTTTGTTAAAAGAAAAAGAAATGAATTGATCTTTTTTCTACTTTATAATTCTGACTGATCTGAATTCTGACATGCAAATATATTAAGGGAGATATTAAAAATATTCGCATCTCAGCCTGGATAAAATCAATGTATTCAGTGTATCATCAAAATACGTGTGATATGCGCTTCGTGGCAAGCAAAAGAAATGTCCCTTTGTTTGTCATTTTGGCGTGTCGTGAGTATTGTTATCTTCAGGGAGAGCGGCAGGAAAGCAGATGTTTTCTCAGTGACACAGATTCACATCACTGCGGATCTGATTCCATGCGTTAACGCTGCTCCACGAAGTTTGTCTCTCTCCTGAATGAGAAACCATGTGTTACTTTCAGCTTTCAGTTCAATTTTGCTGCTCCTAAACTCAACGCGGTCATCAAGCGCCACCTTGTGGTGGAGAGAGGAAATCAACTCCTAATGTCACATGATCTGAGATAGTAGAGAAATGCTACCTAATTCTTTGCCACTATTGCCCTTCAATTACACACAGAGAGGTTTCTAGGCAGTTTTCAACTTTCGTTTAAGCTTCTTTATTTTTGATATTTTCTGTGAAGCCACATAAATACATTTTTATTTAAATAATAATAAAAAGAAGAAGAATTTATATATTCATTTTCTTCTGGTTATAAATATTATCATTATTATTATTATTTTTATTTTTCAATTGTCTGTGAAGCTATAAATAAATTGTCATCATCATTATTATATGAATTTTTATTTGCTTTTTTATATTTTCTATGAAGCAATACAATTATATTATTATTATTAATTTTCTTTTGATTTCTGTTTTTATATTATCTGTAAATCTATAAAATATATTTGAATTATTACTACTACTACTACTACATTTACTATATAATTACCGTATTGGCCCGAATATAAGACGACCGCGTTTTTTCAGATGTATTTCCAAGAAAAAAAACATTGTCTTATATTCGGGACAATACGGTACTACATTTTTTGTTTTATTATGAATCGCTGTGGATTTTCAGTTGTGTGGCTTTTATGCACGTCTAAAATTTTTATAATTAAGCTCTAAACAATTGTTAAATTTAAATGATTGCACTGTACAAATGTCTCCACGGACAAAAAACATCCCGAACTTAAAATGCTGCTCAATGGCCAATTAGTATTCTGAGCCTCATGCGCCCCCTTGTGGATATTTTTTGCCTCACAGGAAATGGTTCTTATTGAACAGCAGATATAATTTTCATAAACCAGAGATTAGGATGTCTAGAATTCACAAACAAGTCAATAACTGAGAAAACAGTAACAGGGCCTTTTTAAATGGTGGGGTCAGTGTTTTATTCCAGTACTCACATGTCTGCATGTTTGTTGGGGATCATGTGGTTGTTGTAGGCCAGGATGGGAGGAACACTTTCTTCATCCTCAGGAACCTGCAATGGTTAATGAAAAAACAATCATAGAAATAAATTATGAATGCATGTATAAAAATAGCATATTATATTGTATTATTTTAAATTAAGTTATATTTAGTTATGGCTTTGATTGAGAAAAATCTGTAAATGTTAAAAGAAAAAAAAAACCTGTCTGACCTCCCAGTAGATCTCATCATCAAAGCAGTTTTCATCTGCAGGATCGCCCCAGATGGGCAGCTTCAGAACCAGGCCTGTCGGTGTAACAATACAGTTATGCCAACATGATAAATGTGACATTTCCATGACAAACTGAAATCCAATACACCTGGCCATTAACTCCAGGTGAAGATCAGGTGTATTTGTGTAAACCTGAACCATTAACGCAAAGCCATTTGTAGAGTGACTAGCAAATGTCATCCTACACTGTCCTCTTTAGTTTTCATGTTACAAACACACCTGTGCCACTGCATGGCAAACAATCACAACAAAGCCCTTCAGATCCGCAAGCTTTTCTGAAGTATTGTATTGTGCACTGCAGCACACAACGGGAAGCCATCACAATATGCACTTAAACCGGATTAATATCAAAAGACTCTTACCAACAAATATGCCGCCTCCAATTCCAAAACACAAAGCCACACACAGTCCAGCTGCCTGATATCCTCCCTGAATAGTGGGCACACGTTTCGCAAAAGGCCCAGTAAAGTCAAATGTATTTTCCAACCTGAAATGGACAAATGTAATTATTAGAGCGAGCTAAATATTATTAATACCAATTAATATGAATAGTTCATCCAAAAATCAGAGATGCAAACAGGTAAGGAATTTCTTTTAAAGATATTTGCTTTACATGCTTATGTGTAGTTCCTTTAAGGTTTTAAAAAATATATTTGTTATTACCTTATATGTCCAAAACTGTAATTTTTCACATCTTAACATCATTTTAACATCTTTTTGCAACATTTTACAAAAATCAAGATTTAATATTTTTGGTAAAAATCCCATGTTATAAAAGATGAAGTGCATTACTTCATCACTTGCTCATCAATGGATCCTCTGCAGTGAATGGGTGCCGTCAGAACGAGAGTCCAAACAGCTGATAAAAACATCACAATAATCCACAATCCAGTCCATCAATTACTGTCTTGTGAAGTGAAAACCATTGCTTTTGGCTATGTGTGATGTATTCATCAGCTGTTTGGACTCTCATTCTGACGGCACCCATTCACTGCAGAGGATCCATTGTTGAGAAAGTGATGAAGTAATGCTAAATTTCTCCAATTCTGTTCCCATGAAGAAACAAACTCATCTACATCTTGAATGGCCTGAAGGGGAGTACATTTTCAGCAAAGTTTAATTTTTGGATGAACTATTCCTTTAAACCTGTGTTATGTGAAATACAACGCAATTCTTTTTCTGTACACTGACCCTAGATCTCCATAAACCGTGTTGGTGGCAGCAGCGGCTGAGATGGCACCCACAATTCCTCCAATGACCCCTGGCATAGCGTGCAGGTTATGGATGCCACAGGTGTCCTGAATCTTCAGTTTCTCTTCCAAGAACGGCTGAGGAATAGAGACAAATGAGCCATTTATAACAAAAGACAATTGCTGGAAAGTTTTTACTGTGACAATGTTCTTGATCAAATGAATCGAGTTAAGCAAAAATATCTGGAATAACTCATCTGACAGGCGAGACTCACCGAGAAATAAATGTAACCCAGCGTAGATATGATGCCACAGAAGAAGCCCACAATCAAAGAACCATATGGTGACAGCATAAACTCAGCTGCTGTTCCCACAGCAACTCCGCCTGCCAGCGTGGAATTCTGGATGTGAACCTGGAAGGGAAAACACTCCATTTGGGATTCATTCCATTTACATTCACATGCATTTCCAAACAGCCTAAATGAGAAAGTGAACTGGTTGACCAATGAATTTCCATGACTTGTCCAGACTGGATAAAAAAAATGACAATAATAATAATAATTATTATTATTTAATTTAATAGAGTTCACTCACAATGCACTCACAGGAGAAAAACAATCTAGTCGCTAAATATTTAAAACAAGGCATAACTAAAACTATATCAATATAATTATTAATATATTTACAAGACATTACTACCATCACAAAATATTTGATTTCATTCATTTCTGTTTCAGTTTTCCAGGCCTGGAAATCACATTTTTAAAATACACTCATATTTTCAGGTTGCTCATGATCCTGTGAATAGAATAGAACAGAGAAATAAAATAAAATAAAATAAAATTCTATGTGATCTTATCTTATAGAATCTTGTGATTAAGTGAATCTGGTCTGCCAAAAAAAAAGGCAGATGCTTACCATGTCTAGTTTCCCTGTTTTCTCAAACAGGCTGGACATGGCGACTGTAGTGAGAACGGTGGAGGCCAAGGCCAGATATGTGTTGATGGCAGCTCTGTGCTGACCGTCTCCATGATCAGCAATGGCAGAGTTAAAACTTGGCCAGAACATCCACAGGAAGAGGGTGCCTGCACAGGACGCCAGAAAGTAATATGCAAACAGTATCTGAGCCTTCAATTACTTTTTGCATCAGTGTCCTTCTGTGTATTTGCCAAGCAAGCTTTTGCACAGAATGTCCAGCAGTCCAATAATAAAATATAATGCAAGCTCGGCCTAATATTTATAACAAGATTAATGGACTTACCAATCATGGCGAACACGTCCGAGTGGTAGACAGACCCGTTCAAATGTTTGCTCTTATCCAAATTAGGCCGATACAAAACCCATGAAATGGACAGACCATAATAAGCTCCAAAAGTGTGGATCACCATGGAGCCGCCGGCATCTTTGGCCTAACAGGGATTGAATCATTGAACAAAGGTTAGCATGAAGCCATTTGATGTCCTGTATTTACACTAAAAGACATAAGTTCATCTTTATGCTAGTGTACTGCTACATTCAGTATACTAACAGAAATAAAAGATAAAACACAGCGGTTGAGAGATCAATGTACACTACAGTATAAAGTCTGGGGTCTTCGGGGCTTCTCATGCATTCAATAATTAATTAATAATTTATAATGAATAATTTTAGGTTAATTAATCATTTTAGGTATTTAGATTAAATAGATAATGAAATAAATAGTGTTTTAAAGAAAATGTATTATCATCATCATTTGGAATTTATATAAACATTTTATTTTTATTTATTCTTTTAATACTTTTCAGTTAACTTTATAGGAATTAACACTTGTCTTTAGGAAACAGCATGTAATTTGGTGACTGTAATTGCGTAAAATAGTATGATAAAACATTTTATTAACATCTTAAGTGCATGTTAACTTTGAAAGCTCTGAAAAGCTTTGAAAAGTAAAACAGCGATCAGACTCACATGCAGGACGTTCAGGATGATGTACTCTTCAACGGCGAACAGCGTGACACCAAACAGCGTCATCACCAACAGCTGAACAGGACTGACCTTCCCCAGAACAGCCCCGTAAGCGATCAGACAACCCGCCACACAGAAATCTGCATTGATCAAGCTGAACACAGAGGAAAACGTTTAAATCAACCAATCACCAGTTAACATTTGCCCCCTTCGTTTCCCTGAATTAGTGTTTGCACACAAACTACACTAAAGGGTTGGATGATAAAACATACAAAGTAGCAAACTGTATAAAAACTGCTGATTACAAAAGTTTTGCCTGCATTCTCATGGTAGGATCATTCACATTCCTGTTCGTCAGGCTGTTTTTCTAATTGCTGTTTACATGCAAAACAAATCCTTCATTCCCACAGGGAAGTGATAGCTGAGGTAAACAACAAACTGGTTTGTCTGTCTTCTGTCCTTCTAAGTGATCAACACTAGGTTCACATCCAAAAACTGCTTATTTTCTGCATTCAACCTCAAACAACTGAGCAAATCAGCTAATTCTGGTGGAAGGGATCATCTCTCAGTACTACTTTTGATCTGGTTTTAAATAAAACTGTGGCCCCTTTTTTTGGCAACTGTAATATCTCACAAATGAGAAGTAACCTACTTTTCTATACCGATCTTGATCTTTCCGTCTGTGTAGTCCAGAGAATGGAACCAGCCTTGCATCAGAAGAGCCCACTGGATGCCGAAAGCCGCAACCAGGAAGTTGAATCCCACGGCACCAAAGCTATAGCGCTTCAGGAAGGTCATGAGAAAGCCAAAGCCCACGAAGATCATGACATGAACATCCTGAAAACCTGCAGAAAGATGAAAAATATTACCAATTCAGTCAATCAAAACCATAGTGACGATCATAAGAAATCAGCCGAATAGAAAGAGGTGTTATCAAGGATGTAAGCAAACAGTCAGAAGTGAAAAACCCATACTGGTTCAAAACCTAAATATTGGGTTTTGAATGCTATGCGATGCCAAGAACCCCCAAATATGTGACCATGGACCACAAAACCAGTCATATTTTTCGAAATTTAGATTTATACTTCATCTGAAAGCTGAATAAATAAGCTTTCCATTGATATATGGTTTGTTAGGATAGGACAATATTTGGCCGAGATACAACTATTTGAAAATCTGGAATCTGAGGGTGAAAAAAAAAAAAAAGTTCTTAGCAATGCATATTACTAATCAAAAATTAAGTTTTGATATATTTACAGTAGGAAATTTACAAAATATCTTCATGGAACATGATTTCTTTTGTTCCGAAGACGTTTTTCTCTTTTGTTTTTTATCCGCCATCTCTATCTTTCTGTCGCTCGGCTAATGTCCGTCCTGTGCACTGAACCCTCTCTCCTCCACATCATGAGTAGACACGCCCCTTACTGCTCATTGGCTACAAGTATGTCTTGCTATTCGGCCCGAATCAGTTTTCTAAAGCGTTTTTGAAAAATCGCTTACCCCACCTTTAATATCCTAATGATTTTTGGCATAAAAGAAAAATCGCTAATTTTGACCCATACAATGTATTTTTGGCTGTTGCTATAAATTAATATTCTACTGATTTTTGGCATAAAATAAAAATCAATAATTTTGACCATACAATGCATTTTTGGCTATTGCTACAAATATACCCCATCGACTTAAGACTGGTTTTGTGGTCCAGGGTCACATATGATGATTCCCTTCTTACCATAAATCATAGAGGCATCTATATTATACATATACAAGTATATATTTTTAGAAATATATAATATAATTTTTTTTTAAATGTTTTTGAAAGAAGATTTTACGCTCACCAAAGCTGCATTTCTTTGATTAAAAATACAGTAAAAACAGTAATATTGTGAAATATTATTTCAATTTTAAAAAACTGTTTTCTATATAAATACATTTTTAAATTGTAATTTATTCCTGTCATTACTCCAGTCTCCAGTGTCACATGATCTTACAGAAACCATTCCAATTTTATTTATTTCAAATTTTTTGAAAACAAGACATCTTTCAGGATTTTTCAGGATTTTAAAAACAAAAATAGCAATCTTCAATAACATAATAATTGTCTTCACAGCCAGTTTCGATAAATTTAATGTGCCTTTTCTAAAAAAAAAAAAAAAATAAATTGGGGTTGGAGATGTTCTTAATTGTTCTTAGTTTCACTATGTTCCTCTAAAAACTTAATTAATGAAATTAATATAAATATCAATCTGGTGTGTGTGTGTGTGTATATGTATATATATATATATATTTTTATTGTATTATTGTTATTGTATATTATACACTTGTTATTATCATAGAAAATAATACTTCACATCCATTTAGAAAGCAGAATGAATATTAACCAAATTTGATGAACGTAAAGTACTTAAAATGTGACTTACATATTTTTATTAATATCTTAAGTGCACATTTGAACTTTGACAGCCCTAAAAATACATAACATTTTTTTGTAATTCTCACATTTTTCGCGGACCCCCTTAGCACTCTCTTGCGGGTCCTGTACCCCATTTTTAAACCCCTGCATTAGACAAAAGGAAAACAATAGAACTTGAAATTAATGACTCTGAATGTACATTTGCAGCCAATATCCAGTCGCATCGCCATGACTAAGGACAAAAGTGTGTTTTAGCCAGTCACAAACTGTAATCTGAGCCATTTGGTGGCATAACTGAGGTCAAAGCAACAGTGAATTTGACTAAATTGTAGCAGAGCTGAAAAGTAACCACACATCAATTTCCCAGAACAGGACGGGGTTGGGCTGGTTGTTGTCAAAATGTTCTAGGTTTTCTTCCACAGTAGAAGTCCACAACACCAACACAAGGACATCTAGATGTTGGCGACAACACAAAACTGCTAATGACAACAGACAGAGCTGTGCTTTCTGAACAAGCCCTTATTTACACGGAGAAACAGAGCCTGCTGGCCCTTGTTAGCATGAAAGCTCTTGAAAACACTTTGCTTCTCAAGCACGGCTGTCCTTTTGATCCGGCCTGGCATGATGGTTCACCTTGAAATCCTTCTCAACCGATGATGCAGGAGCTACAAAACTCCAGGTTTCAGGTGGGTGTCAAAAAACAATGAAATCTCCCACAGTAACAACTGCCTGGATCAATTACAAGTCTTACCAAGTTGTCTGGACTGCATTTATACAACAAGAACATTTTCTGTGGCAAGTAACTCGAGTTAATTGGGTACATTTATTTTCAGGCACATTAAGTGGTATCAAATCTCACACCACTAACAAACGCTGGTTTTGAGTTATATAAAGCATATCATCCATCGCTCTTGTGTTTATGCTAAGCACTCCACATTGTCCTTGCTCTTTTCAGGGAATATTTTCATAATCGACACCTCGAGTCTGGTCTACAATTGGATTGCAAGAAGATGAGCTCCTCTAACGGTCTTCTGCAATGGTGGTCACTCCTCAACCATGACAAAATGCATTCAGTGACATCTGATCTGTCCGCAAACAATAGTTTGTGTCCGACTTCATACACCACATGTCATCCAACACTTGCAACGTCGATAGTTGTAGAACAGAGGATAGTCTGAAGATTGAAGATCTACAGTATATATGACTGAGGAATTCAACCACACCTTCGAAGATTCAAAAGATGACAATGGATACTGATCTTTACATAGTCAATGAGTAAATAAACCCCCTACCTCCCCCTGTGCCACCTGTTACAAAAGAACATTTGTGGTAAAATGACATTCCCATGTGCATAAGAAGGTATGCAGGTTCTCAAGTGTATGAGGGCAGGAGAAAAGCTCACAGATGTAGCAACTGATATATATATATATGTTATGCAATTTGTAAGTTCTTGTAAATAGTTGTATAATATTTTAGATATTATATAAATGTATAAATTGTATATTTTATAAACATTTTATATATTTTTTAAATTTATTTTCTAGAACATTTAATAATTATGAAATCTTTAAATAGACAATAAGATAGACAGATTGACACATAATACAGAATAATATTAATATTAATAAAAGTAATATAATCTGAAAAAATTACAATGTTTCCTAGAACATGTAAATAATTACAAAATCTGTATTAATAATAATAAAAATGTCCATATGGAATAATAAATGTAATTGGCACTAATTAAAATAAGAAAACAGAATTGTGCACCTACTTGGATATCTGAAGTAATAGTCATTCTCGATATCACTTGTGATATTGTTTTCCTTTCTGTAGTCAACCCAGTGAGTGTCTGACTCTTCATTATACCGCACAAACACCCCAAAAAGAATGATCATAGACAACTGCCAGACGAAACACACGACAGGTAAACTCAATTTGATGTTAGTATTCTTCGGCCGGTCGCAGACGTTCCTAATGCCATCCATACAGTTGCCCATGTCTGCAGGTTGTAAAGCAGTCTGGTGATGTTGCTGTTAAGAGACGCGGACGCGCATTAGTGTCACTTTTAAACGCAGCGGGAGCGCAGAGGTGTGTCCGTGTCTCCGTTCCTCGCCCCCTCCCTCAGAAGAGAAAAAAACACATTTGCGAGAAATGTCTAAGGATGACTGATTGCTACAAGTCACGCCACATGTTGCTAATTGGTGGCGTTTTGGATTTGAAAGCACCTGTGCGTTGTTGTCGGAATATCTGGATTCAGTTCAGTTCTAATATGAGTATTCAGATAGTTCAGAATAAAACTTTTCATTTAGAGTAAATCTGTTAAGTCAAAACTGGGGTTTTCAGCCATTGCATGTCGGATCATACGCCTTTAAACGCCACCAAGATGTTGTAATTTACGCGAGAAATTATTTGGCTGCGTTCTAAATGAACAGCTAGCATACTACTTCCAAGAACACTAGGTGTCAAATGACGTTTTAAAAACATTAAGAACATGCCTAATCAGAAATTTAAAGGGGTCGTATGATGCGATTTCAATCTGTCCTTTCTCTTTGGAGTGTTACAAGCTCTTGGTGCATAAAGAAGATCTGTAAAGTTGCAAAGACTAAAGTCTCAAATCCAAAGAGATATTCTTTATAAAAGTTAAGAGTCAACCACTCCTACCTAAAACGGCTCGTTCTAACACGCCCCCACATGTCTATGTCAGGATGTGGGAAGATTTGCATAACGCACCCAAATGTTCACGCAAAGAAAGAAGGCTTAAAGGGGTCATATGATGCTATTTTAAAGATCATT